CCCGCCCGCACATGGCTACTCCATTCGTGCCGCGCTATTACGCTGCTCACTCAGCGTATACTTTGTCTACGCTGACCAATCAGCGCATTTCTGCACTCTTGGGGGCGTAGCCCAGCGCCTACGAGCGATTCCATGCTTTACGGCATCAGCTGTTGCATACCTGCAGCACGCTGTATCATTACCATTTTACGGACTTGCGCGCTTGCAGCTACTTTTCCACAGTGATACCGCATTGGTTTTCTGTGTTTGTTTGTGGTTGCTTTATTGTTACCAATAAAGGCGATATTTGCCCCATTTTCCCATCTGCTTCTGTGTCATATCTGACAAGGGGGAAGTTCTCACGACACTCCGAGCTTTACCGCGTTGAATCTCCAGACTTCAGCGCTGGAAGCGCAAACAGATGGAGCGTACCAACATTTGACAGATGGGTTACTTGAGCTTAGCAGGTCAAGCTGTAGTGCCGACAGGGCACTCTTTCAATGTTTTGTAATTGCTTTAGTCGGTTTACATTGTGTTCTAGGCTGAACTTATCCCAATGTAGAACGTCAAATTTACCGTAACCCATATGGCATATCGCTTTTACGGCAGCGGAAGGGCAGCCTACAAGCTACTTGTATATCTAATTATATATATGTATACATGAATGGCGGATGACGCTGCAAACTTTAGGAAGCGCACTGCGGAAGTGAAGTACAAAAGACGCTCTTGACAGCATTCCTGCCATGTGCGTTAACGGATATCACGATTAACAGAAAATCCTGGTAGAAAATACAGCGAAGCTTCTTTTAGCAAATTGATTCTCAGTTCTCAATTTAGCTGTAAAGCGCAAATGACGGGAGCATGTTTGTCCCCTAACCGCCATCAATCCGTGGGTGCTTTCAGCACGAGTAAACATATTTACGCTGCTACAGTATGCTGCTACTGTTTACAGTTTCCAGTCAAATCGTTGTTATGAAAAATTACTTGGGCTTGTTTAAGTGGCAGTAGCCGATTCGGTAGCAAGATGTTAATTTTCATCGAACACGGATAAATTAATAATCTCAAAAACATCAGATTATCATGAATGCTTATGGAGCTTATTCCATACTTTCTGAGTGCAGTCTGGTGGATGACATTAAGTACTAAATGCGACAAAAGTACGCGCATAAAAGGGTGAGTCTATAAGCACTCCCTTTTGCACCCTGTTTTGCTCTAGGACATCGAAAAGGGGTGCCTATACATGTAGTCCAAGCGGGTGCGAAAGGTGGTGCCTAGAGATAACGGAGGTGAAACTAACGGAGGTGCCTATAGCCATTTCCTATCTAAAAAGCCATCAAATAGCCAGTATTGTGGAAAACTCTGTATCACAACTGACGGAAACGTTATTATGATATTGTCGAAATATGTACAGGGTAACCCGATCAGCTCCTGGAAGAGGTATAACTCAAACTTTAAAGTGTTATTGAACCAAAAAGCAGAAGGGGTGCTAAACGCTCCGATGTCGAGCTTCGTACTGCTGGATCAACGTTCAACAATATCGATTTCTAATGAGGCCTAGATTGCCGAATATCAACAAACGGCTGCCAAGTTTCATCGGTGCCTGGCAAGTTTCCCATGAAACGCAGTTGGCTAAGAGAGACAAGAACAGTAAATTTATTTAAAAGTCTGTAAATTACTTTATACATTAATTACACGTGTCCTTCCATTACACTTGATGCTGGTAAATGATTAATTACCCGGCACTTGCAGTACGAGCACTTTCGTTACTGGATACGCCCAGAGTCTTCAGACGCTTCTTCGTACTTCTCTGGAACTTCTTCGTACTTCTTCTCTCTCTCGTAGTTCTTTAAAACCGGGTATACGATTTGCTCCTACTCTGTTTGAGATGCCACTTGCCATTTTACGAATACGAAGTGCTACCGGTACAGTGCTGACTAAATTACAGATACTAAATCCGGAATGTTACAAATTTCCTAGATAATCACATTGTGTTTGCTTCTTACGACTGCTACAGGATTGATGTTTTTCGTTCGTAGTAATTCGTACGAACAGAAGACGTACTATCTAAAGTATCTTTCCCAACAAACGCTGCTGAAGCGGACTATTCTTGCGCATACGTACTTCTGATCAAATCCAGGAAAACTCGATTGGCAAACGTGCAGGACAGACCAAAGATAGCAGCCAAGGGATGCGATCCATCATGCAGCTCATAATACAACTTTCCAGCATAACTCATAACAAAATCTTGAATATGCTCACAACCACTTAACCATTTCTCTTTGGGCTTGTACGTTCTGACATTGCATTTTCTTAGAAATGTCCTTTGAATTTTGTCTAAAGCAAGATCCACCGCCGGCCCAACGATACGCTGATCCGTGTATGTTGTTGACTGATATGGCAACAGTGCCACCAATGAGATCTTACACGCTGAAAGGGCACTGCAGTGCACAATTCCGAAAACTATCACATACCGCCACATTCTTTTAGCTTAAGTGCTTACGATAAAACTAATGCGGAGTTGAAAAACGTACGGACTACGGAAATATGCGACGCATCGGTATTGAGAATGCATTGACTGTTCATTTACTTTTTGTTAGGTTAGGTATTGCATATGATGCACCGTACATTTACGGGCATATGCATGTGCGAATTATCAACACCAGGCAGCGGAGCATCTGCTACGAGACCTAGCTAATTTCCGTTTTGACCGATTGTCAATACAATCAACTATTTGCGCGTATAAAACCTGCCAGCTGCGGCTTGATACCTTTCTGTATTGACTTACAAAGCAAATAAGAAAATGAAGGTAAAAAATTTGTAAGTAGTCGCAATTCGAGCTTTCGAACAGGTGTTCAACCACAGGCACTTCCGTATCGTATCCAAGCGTCGGTAAACCGCTTAATGTTTACTGATTACATAGAGTAGAAGTAGTGTTTAGCAGACTGTAAAACCAGCCTGGAATTAATAACACCTAGACATGCTAGCCGGTCTCATGTACGAACATAAAGCCTAAGCGCCAAAACTCAGGCGGTAACAAAACAAAGTACAAAAATAATTTAAAGTACGCTGTCAGCCTGCTCTGTACGGTAAGAGTATAGAATACGCGTGGCTTACTGTTGATGCTCTCCATGAAGACCTTATTGGCAAATGTGCAAGCCAATCCGAACACTGCACCTAATGGATGCGGTCCATGCCGGCGTTCATAAAATATTTGAGCTGTATAACTATTAACATAGTCCTCGAGGTCTTCACAGGAATTTTGCCAGGGTTCTTTGACAAGATGCACGTTAACACTGCAGCCGGACAGAGAGGTCCTTTGAATTTTATCAAATGCGATGCTCATTGCGGGACCGACAACACGCAGATCGGTATATATTGCGGAGTTATAAGGAACAATCGCAAGTAAAGTAACTCCACATTCTTTGGCGCTCGCAGTAGTAACTGTTAAAATCAGAACGTACCCCAGCAAGCCATTGCAGTACATTCTCACTTTCGCGGGAACCACGTACTGTGACTCTCAAAAATTTACAGGACTAACGAACAAAAGCTGCATTCTGTGCCCAGAAAACAATTATTTCTGGCTTGGGCAAAGCGAGATAAAAATAACTGACAAATACAAACAGCCTTATTGATGCTCGCTCTTGCCGGTGGAAAGATGCCCTTTTGCTTCATCAAAGACAATTAAGCACCTGAATTCGCCGCAATGACACCGCAGAAAACAACGCTGTACTTGTATTTTCGAAAAGCAGTTGTGTTCACGTAGTAAACACTGCAATTAACGCTTGCCATTAACAACAACATTTACTCTGGATTTTGCCGTCCAATCGGCAATCAATACCGATATCGCCCTAAATGCGAGGTACTCTCAATGTTATATACACTGTATTATTGTATTACTGGTACTAGTCTACTAGATAATCGACATCGTTTGAAAAGGGTGTTGTGAAATAAATCATAAAGACTGTACACCGTCAAATAAAAATAAAATTACATATTTGAACTTTCACTTGAGGAACTTCTTTCCGGTCTGTTGTCTGCATTTCGTCTGATCGCGAAGGATAAACAATTACATAAAGTGTTCCAGTCGTGCGCTGTAAGCGCTAGCATACACTGTATTGCTCCTCGATCGTGCGGTGTTCTTAGAAAGATGCGTACTTGACAAACAATTTCCATCGCTGTTTTCGGAAAAGCTTTCTTCGGTTCACACGACCTTCAGTTTATGGGAAGAAACCGCTTACTGTTCAATATATCCAAGTAGACTTTATTGCCGAATGTGCAGGTTAATCCAAACACTACACCGAGTGGATGCGGACCATGCCGGCGGCGGTAGTACAGCTCGGCGGAGTATTTATTAACATTGGCTTCAATATTATCGCACGAATCCTGCCAGCGTTCTGTCGGTATCTCCACACGTACACTACATCCACGTAACGACGTCTTCTTGATTTTATCCGTAGCAATCGTAATTGCCGGACCCACAATGTGCATATCAGTATAAACCAAGGATTTATACGGAACGATTACCAATAACGTAAAGCCACAGCATCTCACGCAAATGACTTGGATAAACAAAAAAATAACACTGGCGAATGTTCGGTAGAATTCCATTGATCTGCATCTAGACCATAGTGATCAAAAATTCACGCAGGGATACGGAAAGCGTCGGGAAAACTGTCATCGGTACAGCACACTTCATATGATTTATATCCGTCTCGCACAGCTGTGTACATGTTGCATAAATCAAGAGATACAATTAAATTTGTAATAATGCTTTTATTGAATCCCATCCACCACTTAAACGGCAGCTTAATGTATTTCCCGGAAACCGCGCTGTAGTGCGGTCGGTGTTCGATCGATGATCGGTTTTTTATTTCCCATAAGAACACTTGTCGGTTGTTGTAGTGGTACTCGTATATTTAATTTCTGTCATCATGGGAGAATCATGTTTTGTTACGCTTATACGCGCGAGTAAACGGGTAAAGTATGTAATCGCCCGCTTTTGACAAGGGCGCTTTGTTGACTTTCCATTATGGTTTATTACGGTTGCTGTTCCTGGGCACATGCATCCTGTGTTCCCCGTCAAAACAAAAGGACAGTGACATGTTTTGAAGAACTAACAAAGCATGAACCGGTGTGACGTAAAGGGAAGATCCACCGATGATCACGTGTCAAGCGAGCGGAAAACGAGCGCGCATTCTTTTACGTAATAAAGCCGTAAGCGAATTATGTTTGATAATTATTTTCTCATCTAACAATTGTAAGGAAAAAGTACTTCGCTACGATGCATGTACCTGTCATACGGAAATCGTCAAAAATTACTCAACGTAATAAAGAATAATATGTAATCATAAAGTTCTTAGTTAGATAAATAAATTAAGATGAATACGGGTCTTTGTGCGCAATTTGCGGCATTGCTAAATCATCGGGCGTAAATCCAAAGGGTAGCAGTTCTTTGATGGTGGTCAAATGCAGTCCTTCGCCGTTGATATACTGCTCATCGCTAAATCCCGGTTTCATCAGGATGACCGCACTGTTAGGAGCGAATTCAATGATGACCTGCCGGCACGCTCCACACGGAGCGCAGAATCGTCCGTCGATATCGCTGAAAAATTAGTACTGTTATGTTGGGATAATGACCAATGGAAGTATGTGGCTCGTACGAGGTGACGGCAATGCAATGGAAAGTCCGATGACCTTGGGCGACGGCGTAGCAGATGGCGGTGCGCTCAGCACACACGGTCATCCCAGAAGAAGCGTTCTCGATATTGCATCCTAAAGAACAAATTAAAGCTACAGTTAGCACTTCCATATCGAGATGCAGCGTGCCCTGTACTGCTCTTTTAAGTTATACCAAAGAAATGTCTTAACAGCGTTTATACTGATACTTAGACGACATCGTAGAGTGATGGCTTTGGTAGCGCGTGTATGCCAACGTTGTGATTTACGGTAGCGAAGACAAAAAACCCGAACACATTTGTACTGATTATGATGGTACAAATTCTGTATTTTTCCCCTCTTATACGCTTAACCATATTGAGTATTAATTTGAGGTTATACAATATACACTGAGCATGGAATACAATATACACTGAGCAGGCTGCCGCGATGGTCTGCACTAAGCAAGCTGCCGCGATGTTGTGAATTTTTATGGTAGTACTAGTACTACTCGTTCAACTCGTGTACTGATTGTGAGCATGTCCGAGATGGAACTGCATCTTCTTACTAAATTAATAATTACATGAATAAGGAGAATTAATTTTCGATATAGCGTTATTTATTAAATATGTAAAAAGCAGTAACTTTCGATAAAAGAGGTTTTGTAATGGAACATTATTAATTGTGTATAGCGTGACATATATCAAGCGATAAACAATTACTCTTGCGTTCCGTGAGTTTTGTCTCAAGTGTTTATGAGTTTGTGCGATCTAATTTTAATACCTAATAACCCCGGTAATAAAATACGGATACACAATAATTATTATTGTACAGTACTTGCCTAAAGGCTGCGATTATTCTCGTATTATTTAAAGCCACAACCACACTTGTATTCTCAATGCGCTAATGATTCCGGAACAACCGATCCGTGTGTGTAATAATTTAATTCTCAAACGCCATTCAACATTGTGACGTTATTCCGTCAAATTAATGTGTACCTATGAAGTATAATACAGATGCAGGTGCACTACAAAACTGAACAAGACTCGCTTATATTATTGATAAATCTGCCAAAAATTTACCGGTTATGATAATTCCTTTGTCGTCAGGGGTCGTCAAGAGTGCTGCTCCCACACGGAAGTGACTGTATCGGCTGTATGCGTTGCATTTCACTTTTTCACAGGACTTCAGAAGCTCTATCAGCTTTGCATCTGCAATAAAATAAATTGGATCTACAACTGAAACTTTAAGTTACCAACATACAGAGTATAAATGACGCAGAACTAGAAAAATTAATTTAGAAAGGAGAATTAAGTGGAAACTTGCAGCACTTGGGTTCATATACTTATGCATAAATCTTATGGAAAAGAACATCCATGTTAAATGCGTTACGTTTACATCTATGTGACGGTAGTTTTCGTTTTGAGTATTCTTTAAAGTCATGTGTATTCCAGAATTTCCACGGCGGCAAAACATTTCTTTATACTTAGTGTTATAAGAAAGAGGTGTTAAAATTCGAATTTTGTGAATTTCACTTACCGGTTATTCCTAACGCAGCCGCGGTTTTGCCCACTCCACCACTTTTGCTCATCTTCGATAAATTATCTGTATGCTTTCCCAAAATGCGAAAACAAACCACCGAAGTCGCTAGAAATGTTCACCCGCCGATTATAACAAAGGATTATCTGTCACGGTAGAATGCTAGGAAAACCGTGTGCCTTAAAATTCTGTACCAAAATTAAAAAGCGAAAAAAAGCAGATTTCTTTCCGCAACCCAGAGCAACGAAATGTTATGCGCATTTACGTACGCCACTCCACGTGAATACGGTGGCAACTTGGCAGCATTGCTACACTAGTATAATCGGCTCAGCCGATCGGCACTTGGCGTTCATTTATCAGCCACATCTCCTGTGATTCAGTGATAATGATCTTCCTGATGAAAATAAAAATCGATTTCTGTTATCTGACCACTTATCGGTACCTGCTACTAGCAGGCACGTGTGGAAAAACTGGACGCATGATTTTAATCAATTCATAATTATACATTATCCGACAATATGTTGCAGTAAGCTGCATTCACGGTACTAACCAGTAAATCTACTGTATAGTTTTCGAATTTTAGTTTTTGAATTGATTGCTGCATCTTGCCCTTGTCAGCTTGTGTATGCTGTTGATATTCGTATATTTATCTACCTTCTCATAACTCAGCTTTTGTTTTTAACTTGAATTCTTCAGTTCCAAAGAACGAATAACCACCACGAATAACCGAACGAATAACCATACATTTTTTCTGAATTTGCATTGTCAAAATTCGGCAGAAAAGATATCACCACATTTGTCGAAAAGCACTGGGATAAGCTAAGGCATCTATGCAAAGCCACAAAGAAAATCGGCGTACAAAGACCAGTACAAAAAATTATCACGCTTAAAATGGCTGCTGCTTCGTCATGCCGGTCAACCAGCAGGTACGGAAAACCGCTTTCTCCTAAACAAACAAACGGGTGAGATTAAAATAGTTATCACAGTTGTGCGAAGACATAACAAGTAAATAAAGCTATAAAAATATTCCTAAAAGATTCTAAAAACAGTACCCGGTAACCCTTTTTAACAAATCTCTAAAATAATCGCACCACTATCCGGAATTTCGTTTACACCACCACCACCACCATCTGTAACTAAACAGCTCGCAGAAGACCTGCAGTCAGTGCCACTGCACGTTTTTTAATTTATCCAAGCGGCTGTTGGGCACTTTAGGGTTTAGACTGGTTCTTGAAGATTTCAACTATATCTCTGAAGGGATGGCCCGATAATTAACGGCGGTTTGACGGCAGGTGTTGACACTTAACAATACTGACCCCGGCCCGTGAATAAATCGCACAAAATGCAAATCGCGCAAATTTTAAATGAATCGTAGCACAGAGTACATTGGCAGTTACTTCAAACCCGCAAAACGTTACTCTGCTTCCTGTTCCAACTAGATCGATGATTACTACCGCGTACGCACTTTGGTGTACAAATTCAGTTTTATGTCTTAATTCGTGGAACTACGAGTAGTTTCTCCACTTACCAGAAAACATTATTTAATTATTTCATGCATTTGTCGTTTTGTATATCTTTTTTTCCAAAATTTCATATAAGGGTGCTCACATGTAAAGCCGTTTTCTGCCGCGGTTCGCAGAAAAACTGGCGTGTTTCCCCGAGGAGTGTAGCGGTGTGCTGACTGATGTGTATTTTTCCCGCTAAATTTAAAACAGCAACGGTTAAGTAATACCACTTTTCAGCATTGTATAAAACTGCATGATTTATTTTTAACGACAGAAAAGAGTTGCTTGTTATATAATACCTTCGCATGTGCATTGAAGTATGCGCGATATGATGGGCGTATCCCCGATGCTGCAATTATTACCGGAAGCTTTGCAAATGCGGCATATTAATCACATCACGCAATAACTAATCAATCCCTTACATGACGTAAAACGGCATCCGTTTCCCCACTAAACACGTCATGGCTGGCCCTGATAAAATTAATAAGCAATTAAGCAGAACAGAAATCTTTATATGCTCTGTATACGTATATTGATTCAATAAACAAAATTATCATACATAATACGGATTAATTCCATAATGTTTTGTATCTCTGTTTTTATCGGACGTTAGAAATTAAAATATTTTCCACAATATCCTGTCAAGGCAATTTGATAACATTTAAATCCTCGAATATTTAAATTATTATCGAGAACGAAGGTGGATCTCCTTGTTTATGCTGTGTTCTCCGTTAATTTGGATTAAAAATAAATGAAACCAGGCTTACCGGTATGGAAGCCGATTAAAGCTTTCGGTTTCTCCTCTGTCATATTGGGAACTTCTAACTGCGACACCGTCTCACGAAGATACAAGGCACACTGAGCTGTGTGGGCCACATGCCGGAAGCCGATTTTCTGGGGAAATCCACCCACGGCCTTCAAGAAAAATCAACCCTTTGACCTTGTTGTGCATTGCAGAACAATGGCAAATATAAAAATTAATATTTTGCGATATGACGAATAGATTGAATTGCTAATGGCATCCATATTAAAATATATATCAATGTAATGTATATATTAATGTAGTTGATGCGCGTAACGTTAGATGTAATAGATGATGAACCGTAATTCTGTGGCTTTATCGTTCAGTACCCAAGTTCCCTTTGCGTCGTTTAAAAGCCGCCACACGTTTATGTTCTTACGATTAATTGTTAGGGGAATATATCAGTTTAATCTTGTCCTAATCGTTTTTAAATGTTTAAATAATGCAAAACTAGTTTTTCCATTTTTCCGTCTTCATGATTTGGTGCATTAATACTATGTGCTATTTGACAAAAAGCTATTAATTGCATAAATAATTACAGGTCACTTGCATTCTTAGGATGAATAATTACAGGAAGACAGATTCCAGGGCGGTATTCCAGGGTGTATTAGGGACGTTACAATGTGCGTAACTACAATATCTGTATGGTATGTGCCACTTTTAACTGGTAAGTGGCAGAAAGTTTTACTAACCATCCACGTATCGTTGAGGGATCGCACACGCGTCAGACCGAAATGTACGGTTCCGTAAGTTAACACGCGAATCCACGCATTCAGCACGTCTATAAATTGGTCTAACTGGCATTTCTCGATGATCGCCGGGATGTTAGCTAACGATGCCACTAGAATAGTTATTGCATCGTACGTTTCCGGAACAATCTTTTCCTGTGCGATCACTCTTAAGGCTACGGCCCTGTGGAGAAGCACATGCATTAAATGCAGCAGTATGTAATTATATATCAAGCGAGTGGCGTATATATCAAAACTTGGCATAGATAAATTATTTTTAATTAATTAGTATCATACGTATAATACGTTTGCCAACGTACTGTATCTGTAACTGATTTCATTAATATGCTGGCTAATCATGCCAATTTTTTCACCGACTGATGTCCAATAAATGCGTATAATGAAAATTCCATTATGAAAGCCGACACTGACCTGGGAAGAATATTGGTGATGATTTCTTTATAATTGGCGCGCTGCTGTATGAGATCTTTGGTCATCTGGATGGTCTTCTTCTCCAGATCCTCGGCGTGCTTCGTCATGCGGTCCAGTAGATCTTGCAGCATGTGCGTCCCTTGCTCGCCGGCCAGGGTGCGCAATTCCACCAGCAGGGGCTTGATGGCCATCCGTTGCGCCGGATCTTCTTTCCAGCAGTTCTCAATTAGCTCCTTCAAAATCACCGCCTGCTGTCCGAGACCGGTCAGCCGCAGTTTGGGGCGAAACGGTGGCTGACGACCTTTCTCCAGGGAATCCAGAATTTCTGCAAAAATCCATACGATTAGCTTAATAATATTTTAACAAATTATAACAATTGGAGTACATAGTAATAATTTTATCATATTTTTCAAAGCCGGTCTTTGTTCCAAAATTATTTGAATTATTACATATATGTATATAGTCACACCGTACATACGCGATGGAGTCAAACTGGCATTTGTGTGCATAAACGGATCGCACATCATCGACACCTCCGTCATAATAATGGATAAACTGTAAAGGTCACCGAGCTGCTTCTGCTCCACAGTGGGCTCCTGTCCTTTCAGTCGAAGGATTTCCGGCGCCGTCCAGAGTTTCTTATCCGGTTCGAGGGTATCCTCCGGTAACAAATCATGCAGAGCATAGTCGCCAATTTTCGCAGTGTACCGTGCATTTAGCATGCATTTATCGCTGCGCAACCTGCCATGACACTTCATCCAGGAAGTATGAATAAATAAAAGCCCCTAAAAATATCAGTTAAATTGTCAGTTCTGAATTCGTGTACAAAACGTTTAGTTTCTTTTCGGAAACCGTTAAACATGAAAATTATGAATATTTATTAAGCAATTATAAAGCAGTTAATAGTAAATAGTAAATTATTACACCTCGCCTTGTATGTTACTCCAGCCGTTATGCCAAAATATCAGTGTCCAAAATGCGAATTAACTATCGAAAACATTTGATATAGCACAATATAATAACTGTGTAACTTCAGACAACTTTATTAGCAGATTCCATCTGGAATTATATTATTACGAATATAATAACGTGCTAAGCAGAAAAAAGGCTTATTATAAAATAATTAAGCGATAAGCAGGAGAAAGTAAAGCTGATTAGCCAGATAGTGCTTGGGGCAGGATAAACGATTATACCCCACCTCGGCGACGTCCTTCATGACGGAAAATTTGAAATTCCAGTCACACAGGAAGGGATCAGAATGTCTGGATAAATAGTGCAAATTCCCCCGTGAGCAGTATTCCATGACGATAACATGAAGATCCGCGCTGGTACACAGACCATAAAACCGCACCAGCTTGTCGTGCTTGGTCATGCGCAACTACATAGAAAAAAATTCCGGGATTATGCGCCCTAATCCGATAATACTTGATCCAGCAAATTCAAATATTAGGAGCTTTATTGACGCACGCTCGCAAAAAAGGAGAAAGTTAATGCCGACCTTTTCACGTGCTGCTGACTTGTGAAACCGTACAACCGTATATATTTTTCATTAACGCATGCCATTTAACCGGCACTTGAAATCATAAATAATCAGTGGTCTGATTATGAATGTCACTACTATTATGGTCACGTACAAATACATATAAACATTAAAATTCATTATGATTATCACAATTTTGATGCACTTATTACTACTGTATATTCATTTCAAGCTGGTTAATATTTTGTACTTGCTGTTGGTATAATATAAGCTAACAGCAATTGTTATTTACTGGCAACAAACAGTACCTTTCGTAATTCTCTCTCCGTCTTTTTGGTCATTATTGTTTGAATAAACGGAATCAAATGAACGGTTTCAAAGCGAAACATGGCGTGACTGCCAGCAGCCCCGCGTTCCGACTAGAAAAGATATTAATATTAATTAGGCAGATTCTTGATTATTAATTTAACTAGCACAGTATGTAACATGAATACCTTTGATAACTCCTCCGGAGCGATGCGCCACCAAGTCGCATTCGCTAGAGCGCGCTGCCGTTTCACCAGTCTAATCAATTCATAATAACAGCCTTGTTTGAATGAAATATTTGCTGCAGTATGCCGAAATCCGGTGGGTATTACGTGCTGTTGGATTACATCATTTATTACGTTTTTCTTTGATTAGTCACAAAAAATTCTTAGAGAAAACAGCCACCATAAAGTAACCCGATGTCCAGAGAGTTTTTAACAAAGTAGCTCATTTAATGAGACTTAGTAGTCTTGCTGTAAGAGCTGTTGCTATATAAAAAACATTTCGTTGTAACCGAAACTGAATAATTATTAAAAATTACAGCAATTTCCGCTGAAATTCTACGCGTACTGTACCTGTAAATAATCACAACAGCCAAAACGGCAATCACCACCGACACGACGCTCGCCAAAACGGCAATGAAAGCGGTTCGGTTTTCTGCAGAATTTTTACTCAGATTGTCAATTCGATAGATATGTACAGAGTCTGTAATATAAATAATGTACAACAATAATAAAAAATGTACCATAAAGGAAGCAAATGGATTTGGTCCCATCGAATCCACACACCGGTTCATTAGGTGGAGGCCAGTAGCTGACCCACTGAACTGACCCCACAACGCGCGGTATCCGGTCCGTTTCGTAAAACTCCAGTACTTTCTGTACAAATAACGTGCAAATTTGAGGTTTCGAAACTGCACTTTAATACATGATATAAGTAGTGTACATAGCAGTGTCTTGAACACCTACCCAAAATGTCCTGTTCGTTGGGACAAAGTTCAGTAATTCAAATCGTCCCCGTAGCTCATTGTCTTCGGAAAAGGTCAAATTTTTTGTGGGGAAACTAAAGGTACGGTTAACAAACCGTTGGGCCATGGCCTTTCCGTTAAAGATCTCCTGGGGCCAGTCCGTTTCGTTGATATCGCTTAATACAGCATCGTACGACCGTATCGCTTTGTCAAAAGTAGAAAAGTACTCATTTTCCTATAACGGTCAAATAACCGGTAACCATAAAAATGTTATTTATAGATATTCGAACGTCAAAGTACGAATACGACCATTATGTACCCATATTACCATTTTTATTTGTGTTTCTTTATTAAATTTTGGATTTATATAAGAAGCTAAGATACCTCTTCAACAACCAGGGTACCGTTGATGGAGTCGTCGACCTTTCCAGAGAAGTCAGTCCCAAAAATCGGATCGGTGTGCGGTTTAAGACGTATTAAAAAAAGGCTTCTAAATGCTTGCATTAGACTCTGCAAATAAAGATGATTTTATGTGCAGTAATTAGGATCCACCGTCGCATCGCCGGAATTATTATTCTGAACGCCCTAGCACTACATCGCTTTCTGCAGTCGAGTGTTACGCCGCTACATGCGCTGTAAATTTTATTACTATGTGTGCGTATGTGTGCAGGCCAATTTTACTACATAAAATAATTAAGATACTAGCACATTATCTTTTACACCAACTTTTCAATGTTTAATTTGGACTAGCTATAGGTACCTCTTCTTCAGGGTTAACGGTGTGATGCATTGTGAAATTGGCATCCGGCACTTCGAAGTACATATTGGTCACCGAGTAGGACAAGGAAATAAAGACCTAAATATAAGTATGAAGACTTAGCATGATCTCCTGCTGCGCAGGTAACAGCATTCACACAAATTTCGTCATGATCATCTAGGTCAGGGATTATTTTGTGGGAGCACGAAATTAATACAGTGACTCACATATTCCCCGGAAATGTATGCACGCTGGCCAGGGCTATGGAAGGCAAGCAGCTACCTTCGAAGACCATTGATTAGGTATGGCTCAAACTCAGAATTCCTTATCAACTCAGCATAGGTAATTACGCAGTAGGGATACTGACCATGATTTGGCGGACGTCGATCGGATCCATGAGTAATAAAATTACTAAAAAAGTCATAATTTCAGTAAGTATTGTAGTTGGATCATTGTGTGCGTGCTAAAAATACTGACTCTTAACGCCCGGCCCCATTGCTTCTTATTGCTACTTAGGTATATAACTATCGCTAAACAAAAGCTGTAATATTTTTAGAGTAACATTCAAAAGCGTTGCCATTCATCGTTGGTGTAATTGTTAGTGAGTCGATTAAACCGAGAGCCAGGTAGTCATACAAAAATGTTTGCAATATCTTTATTTATTTAAAGAGTAAAATTTGTATATTATTTTACGCAAATACTGTATTTGAAGTATTTGAATAGAGTCACTAGAGGACATTTTACGCATGCAGTTATCGTTAAGCATCAGAAGGGCTTACTTCGACAGAATTTGTAAATTTCGCTTAGCGTTTTCGTAAAAGAGTCGGGATGCTCATCTGGTTTCACCGCAAAATCTGTAATCCGGATGTCACCCTTCCGTTTCATGACTTCGGTTAGCGACTGAAAACTAGATTCCCAATGTTGGTTGTCGGCATTGTAAACCACACCGATATCCGTCCAGTTGTACAGTTTCATTATTTCGTAAACAAAATGACCAGCCCTTTCATGGGTGTGGGAAAAGCCGATCACGGTAGGGTATTTGTGTGCGTCCGCCAACGTGGGCGTTAGACTTGATCCAGCCAACACCAGGATATTCAATTCTGAAAATTCAGCTCAGATGATCATTTCAATGGGATTTTCAGCTTAACTTCGAGTACTTATAGGAACCAGATTCAAAAACTAATCAATGCAAAACAATAAATAATACGTACAGTGCATGAATTACTTGACATTTATGAACTTGGATGACGCATGCACGCCCCACACAAACCCAAAAAATTAATATACTCGTATTTGCAAATTTGGTTACAGATTTGATTTAAGACTTAAGTGCATTGGTTTTGCTTACGCTGTGATAATTGCCATTGCCGTATTATTACAAGAGGTTTTGAAGTATGCACTGTATTGAAAAGAAATTACGATGATATATTGCAAACAACAGATAATTATAACACGTTTTTGCAATTGCAGTTCTGCAGACTGTGTGATTTATACAGAGGAGCTCTATGTGAAAAAAAGCCGGCTGCGATGCCGGCAAAACCGGTTTGTCTAATTGTCTAACTACAGTACGCATATGATTTTATCACGTTCAACATCGAGAGCGTTGTTGGTTCAGTGGTAGAATGCTCGCCTGCCACGCGGGCGACCCGGGTTCGATTCCCGGACAACGCATTTTTCCATTTTTTTTTAAATGTTCCCAATTTAAGAAATATAAAATGATAAGCAACCACTGATTAAAGCGGATATCAGTAGCAACAGTTGCAGTTTTAATACAAATATTTGTAATCAAAAGATCTCAGGTACGTTGTTCTGATTTAGCATACTTTATTATTCATAGGTACGTTTTGTATAACCAGGCGCAAACTGCTAAACCATTAATTTTACTCTCCTTGTTAATGCGTTGTAAATTGTAGGCAATCAGATTTTTTGCAGCTGCCTGTAATTGCCTCCGCTGAATCCGCAGTATCCCGCGGCCATGTAATCTGTCTCGGGTCTCCCTTCTCCCTCCCGGGTGAATAATTCATACTGTTTACCAGAATGGTAATTTGTCAGAGTACCATGCACGCGGGACAAAAGCCCACAGATGTCAATGCATTATGCATCAAGTCAAGTAATCAAAATGCCTGTATCATGTCGAGCGCGATCCAGCGCAAACACCGAAAGAGATTAGAGAGGAAGGTAACATCTCCATAGTCTGTACGATAAACCTACCTCTCGCCAGTGCAAACAACTCCGCATCCGCCTGCTCACAACCGCTGCCCATAACCGCTGCCAGCTTGTCATCCGAGTCCAATCTCGTGAAATACGACTCCGCAACCATTTTCGCGATGCCATCTACCATGATATCTGCCGACCACGAGCAGGAATCTTGGAAGTGCTCCGCGTTTATTACATCAAATTTCAGATCACACGGCAAACTGGATGTATTTTGCACACGACCGGTAATGTTTAGGAGAATATTGTGTTGGGTGAAATTCGTGGAAATATGGGAAGAAGGAAGTGTCAAGGGAAGAATAACGAGAATGGTAAAGTTGCAAGGATACTGATAGGCCAGTCCAACATCGGCGACAAGCAAGACGATAAAGTGGACAAAAATGACCATGTCGCTGACTGGACCGCACGTCGTTATATCACGTCAGGCCAAATCATTTTTTATTGATCAGGCGAAAAAAACGGTGGCAACAAATGCCGCCTGTTTTAGTAAATTATTTCTTATTGGTCCGGCATAGAACAACGGTGACAAAATGCCGCCAGCTTTACGTTATCTCGGACAAAGTCATTTTGAATTAACTGTCCGATTTTTACTCACTGAGAACGTTTTCATCGATCTGCACCGGACAGACGAGAGAAAATCATGGAAAATTCTCCTCCGCATGATTTGAGTCAAAACGGTATTCATACCACTATACGCAACACTTCAGGCACATTAATAACAGTCGCGCTATGCCGTCAGCAAGGACGGCATAAGTGAATGATTTACTCGAGCAGTTGACATTCAAAGATCCCGTTATCCGGCACCGGAAATGCATTAAACACGGAGGGCATTTAAATGGTTTGAGCCAGGCAGATTTTTCATGATTCAAGCACGACAGTGTGCAATCAATCCGCTAATACGTAGAACAGCCAACCGGCGGCAGAGCCTTCATGTGTTTCTAACAACATTTACCCAAAAAGTAGCCATATCACACAACACTGGCATCGCCTCGCGCACAGAGCGGATCTCAATAACCCAATCGATAAATCCGTCAAACAAGAGGCCCGGTTTTAACTATACGGACAGGTACAAATGATTCTACTCAAGTGCGTATTGTGAGAAATATGCTGTCTCGCAGATTCGGCACCGCGTGAGTACTTTCTGTATCCGCGCTGACAAAAACCATCTCCAGCCGTTCAGCCGGAAGGAAGTACAGTGCGGGCGCCGGCAACAACGATGAACACAAATACACGACGGGTAACATTTCGTAATCAGATCATATTATGTGGTCTATTCGACGCGTAACGCGCAGCACTCATTGTTCACGCCGGGATAAGCATGCATAACATAATCCCCGGTATCCTGGTGCGGAAATAATATGATCTGGCGAGCTGTACATGAAAAGGAAAAGTCGCGCGCTAGCTGATAGTAGAATCTTATGGCCTGCAGGGATCTGCCGGCCGCACATTTTGCAGTGCGAAAGCGGATTTCATGGCCAAGGTGTGTCTTTTGTGCCGCGGAGTTTTTATGTCTGAGAACGCGGTAGCAACTACCATCAGCTAGGCACAGAACCACACCGCCGTGCTGCCGTCTCCCAGCCAATCGATATCACACGACCTACTCAGGATGAATTAGCTGCGTTACCGCGGCTGGGGGCTTTGTGTGTTGGTGTTTTGAACCGTAATCAGCTGGAAACCATTGCATGCTCGGCTTCACTGGCTGCCTTGGAATAGCTGGGTGCCGCGTCTTTAGAAATTGTTGCACGTATCGCTCTGATTTAATCTATGGATGCTGTCATGGTGTAATGGAAAATAAGACTGTGTCGGTAAACATAACACCCGAGCAACAAATACAACGTTCCAGCTATCGCGGTAAAAACTTGTAGCACTCGAAAGCTTTGAAATACACATTAATAAGCAAAAAACACAAACAATGGCTGTGAAATGTTTATTGTCAAATGTGCATCGCTAAAAAATCTGTGGCCGATCCAGGCTGTTAAAAGGTCACTGTAATCTGGAAGCTGTTCGAGTGAGTCTATATGTTGCATAATGTCAGATACCGCATATAACGTACAAATATTGTTATTACATGTAATTCTATGTCATCAGCTGCGCGTTTCAGTCGACCTGTCTTTAGAAAAGGCGGCTTGATTATTTCAGATAGGTAAATCTACTTCCGCGTGCAGTAATTTGTTGTGACGGATGAGCATGGCGTATCACGGATACGTCTGGGTGAAACTATGGACGACAAGGAGGAATTTCCGGAAAAAAGCGCGGATATTCCCGGCTAGGAAGTACTAAATTAATACTGTAGTTAAGAATTATAATTGTCACTTCTTAACTAACGTTTGATGGTACTCGTAGTCATGGTACTGATACAGTAGCGATATGATAACGCACCAATGGCACGGGTGCTGGCAAATATCAGCGGTAATATTAGATACAAGAAACGGCTTCGGCTTTGCCTCCGCGTTTCTTGTGGTCTGCTGTCGGTTTTTCGAATGATTTGATTAATTTAGTATTACTGCGTGCACTATTTGCGATGACTATAGTCTATATGCACTAAACAGTGGTCTTACTTCAGTTCTTCACCACCTATCACGATTTGCGCTCAGAAAAATAAAGGAAATTTGGTTACTCAAACTCTCAGTCGGCTCTGCATTGGACAGTAATGAAACTGGTCACTCACTATGCAGTAAACAGTAGTGGTACTTCAGTTACTCACCACCACTCGATCCGTTACGTACCGACCTAGCGAGCAATGGCTGTTTTCAGTAGGTCACCACTCTCCCTACCGGTTTCTGCACACGAGAATAGTGGTACTGCCACTGTTATGTGCGGTTCCAGTAATGGTAGCTCAGTTACTGGTTCGTTACCACTCGTTTGGTTACTCAATCACCTAGCGAGCTCTGTGCACTGGAGAGTAGCGGTGCGGTAACTGCGGTTACTCACCCAGTCACCCATCTATCGAATAGTAATTTGATCACTCAATTTGTACACTAAATAGTAGAAATAGTTCGCTAATTCGTGTATGCGAACCCCTGGGACCGTAGTTCCAAATTAATACCCGTTTTCTTAGGAATGATAGATGTTTATGAAGCAATGTATTTTTCTAAACTGTTCTTTGAGTCGATGTACTGCAGCGGTAATACTTTGTAATTTATGTAATTGATAAATTTTTTCTATGTATGGTTGTTTCAATGTGCACACTGCACAGCCCTTTTTGCACTGATTATGATAATCAATATCATAAAATTAGCCTTTATAATTCATTGCCGACGAGGATGCCGTTTATTTTATAGTGTTTGTGTAGGGAATATAAATTTTCCGATTCGAGCAGTGCAGTCGGTTGGCATTTTCTGATCTGAAGAAACTAATTTATTCCGTATTATACGGAATGATTAATTTAATGGACCGTACATGCTGATTAATCACTGTCTTAAGTTTTGCTCGACTGTAATGAAAGGTCAGCCCGTTTGACGATTACTGTTTTCAGTTTCTTTTACAGCTGCTTTGAACGAGCGTTCTTATTCCTAACAAATCCTAAGTCATATTTTTTTGCGCTTTAAATTGTTAACGACTTACTGAAATGAAGCCATCCACTAGCAGCATCTTTGTCTTACTGCTAACAGGCTAGTGAGAGGCTGTTTTGTCTGCAGGAGTAAAAGTTCAAACCCTTTTTTTAATTTGCTGATCTAAAAGGTGCCAGTTTAAATTTACTGAGTTTTTTGTTCTATGCAACCGGACTCTGAAATTATTTTCAAGGTCACCTTGATCTTTCAGTTTTACCGGCACCGGCGTCTGTGAACGGGATGATGAATACATAATTACCAAACCAAATGCATGCGACACAGTTTCAGACATGCTGAATCGAATGACGCCAGTTTTCGATTAATTTTTTGGTTTGTTCTGACCAGATCGTACGGGGTTTTCCGTTGTAATATAGATCTTTTCCTTGATTAGTACAGTACTGGTTTTGATTTTGAACTGTATCAGTTCTGGACTTTGGAAATCTACGTTGCGTTCGTTCCACTTACGCTGCTTTAAAAGTGAACCGAAGGTGATTGTTAAACTGCGCTCTGTACAACTGCAATCATAAACTGTTTTTTGTGCTTTCTACTTTGTATATCAAGTGTCTGTCCTGTACTCTCCTTTTATAGTGAATTTATTTTCTGGCTACTGTTGCCTTATTTTTTGTCTGTAATCTACTGGGGGCAGTCACCCCGCGGCGATGGACAGTAATTATTATCACGACATTTATTGCCGGACCGGTTTGCAGTTCAACCTAATTCAAGCTTGTGTCGGTTGTACAAGAAATTATTGTCTTTTGTTTGTCTAAAAACTGTCTGAAATCGCTGCTCACGAATCGGATAGTAGTTACCGACTTCGTCAACTTGCACAGGACTAGTGGTACACTGGTACTGTAAATTCTAGTGTTCTTTACAAAACTGGCGGTATACTGCTGTGCTGGTTTGCAGCTCAACCTCGTTATGTATGCGTCGGACCGTCGGTTGTCCAGGCAATTATATTGGTTACTTATTCGCCTGGTTCCTTAAAAAATGTCCAAAATCGGTTTTGGATTCAATCCAAAACTGGTATTGGATTGAATAGTCGTTATCGATCTCTTTACTTGCACTTGCAGCGTTCTAGTGTACTGCACAATACATAGCCCGTATCAACACAATTAATTTTGGTCACCAACAGTATCATTGTTGCGTCTGTCACCGTTACCGGATACGGAATTACAGTACGAGGACATTTGGGTGCTGTGAACATACCCTGCACGATTAGGCTGCGATGAACAGCCGGCTAAATTTATAGCCGTTTGCATTCAGACTGTGATATCAGTAGCGTTGCGAGCTACGGCTAACCAGCTGTTCATCGCAGCCTAATCGTGCAGGGTATGTTCACAGCACCCAAATGTCCTCGTAGCTATTGCCGCTCTATAGTAGTGCAGTCTACTGGCGGCTACGCCAGTAGACTCCACTAGTGAAGAGCGGCAGTGAATTGCCGGCATTCGTAAACCAATTAAGTAAAAGGCGGTTGTTGTCATTATTTTAGAAAAGCGGAATCATTGTCGGATTGTATACTAATGAGCAACTAAATAATAAAGACATTTTTTACCTAGCCACAGGGATAAAGACTTCTTCGAACAACTTGAAGGCACATTTCTTGCAACCACAGCCAGGCTGTAGTCTACAGCCACTAGCTATACGCGGCTGACTTGACATTTTGTAGTATTTAACGTAAGCGTTCAGTAAGCCTTCGCTTAAATGACTATGCATATCACGGTTTTGGCTCCGGACCTTGCGAAAACGATTGTCAAATTGCTGCATCAAATATAGCAATGTTTATGCTGCCGGTCATACGATGGACAATGCTACCGCAATGCTTTTTTCGACCGCATCAGTCTTTGGTGGAAACGTTTCCAACTGGTATGCAAATACGAGCGCAAACGATATCGGTCCCAGTATGCATAGCGGAGGTCAGGCAGACAGACAATCATCCAATGGGCCCTCCACCAATACGGACACTGCGTTATTCCGACAGTCAACGGCAAGATGGGTTTGTTGTCTGTCAGTCAATATACTTCTGCCTGCTGATCCTGTGTACGTCAGTGGGCAACGCCCTGAACCTGGTGGTCCTCATACGCAGTGCGCCAAAATGGAGGACATCGGCATGCCACTACCTGATTGGCACAGCCGTTGCTGATTTGGTAGCAGTGTGAGTAAAATTAATATGAGCAGTGAGTAAAGAAAACACAGCATTTTGTCAGCCCACAATAAAATTAACAATGTGTTTATATCATAATCTTTCGCGAAGCCGCAAACGAAGAAACTTTGGTCGTTTTGTAACTCTGCTTGAACCACTTCCCTTACTATTGGTATGCGGTATTGAGAGGTGAAGCACTGCTCTTTTTGTAGATGGCTAGGGTTACCCGATTTTTTATCGCAACCGGAGATGAGTTCGGATTTTCGTTTAACCAGCACAAAACTGTTGCGTCCGTGGTTTTCGGATACTGCGATGAGTGTCTCCGATTGGTTAGAATTAGATCTCTGCTGTTTAACAGATAACGATGTAACTATGTGCGTGCGCCATTATCCTTTCAGGATTCTGGTTGTGTTCTCTTGGGAACTTCTACTTATAATGTCACGTCCTTTGCGATTCGGATTCCTGCAACGACTTTTAACAGCTCGCATTATCACTGTCGTTCTCGTTGCTTTACCGCTGGCATGTTATGCTTTCGATGTCTTAAGGCCCTACTGCTTCTCCTTCTCCGGGTACATGGATCCTGTGGAGTTTTTTTTCGCACCTCCAGGATGGTTCTGGCAATGGGAAGCCTTGCACAATAAAGCAATAGTAAGTTCGTGGTTGACCAAGCGACACTGACAGAGACTCAGAGAGCGACGTCTTGAGAGACCGTCACTTTTGCTGTCGAACCGGTATATGGTTACAGTGGGCTTCATAAAGATGTCACACCCGCTGGCCGATATAAAAAGGGCTGACCGTTGCTTGGACAAGCACTCCCAGTACCTGCTGCCGTCACCCGGCTGGAGTTTTACGTTGTGACTAGGTGCCTATGTACCGCGCCTGATTTAGCCATATGTACTGCCGCAACATCACGCTCCAACCGATTGACGACAGCAAGTACAGGAAGAGCTTGACTGCGCAGTCCCTTTTATAACACTGGTCACTGTGCATAGAAGTATGGGTAGATGTGCTGTAACTCCATTTTGAAGATCATTAGATTCATCAATACATCAATACATAGCCCGCCCATCATTTGGTATGGGCGGTTACCTTCATTTCAAGATTTTCCTAATACTTTCCATGCTTCATGACAATTTGTAACCAAAAGAGGAGTTATATTTGAAATTCATTTTAAAATTTGAAAAAAACTGTGGAAATTTATTTTGGTGTAAAAAGAATCTCCATATCTGCGAGTACGTTCATTCACTCGAATTTAAGCAAGATGGGCCTGTTACGAAATTTTGGCGCTCGTCTGTTGGCCTTAGAACTTTCAGTACAGTACAGTATTCTTTTTTTACCTATAACTCCCAGCCGGATGTTGCACTGATGAAAGGTGTTCAAGAAGATGTATATAAAGTACTTGGTTACATAAAAACCATGTGAAAAGTGCTTGGGAGTGCGCGAAAGTGAAGATCCCTGTGCATGTACGTACAGGCTACCGTAGCCATATATACGACATAATATTATACTGTAGGTACGAATTACTGTATTTCTCTTATCACTGGAAACACCGTTGAACTGCTCCTCCGCCCGATCAAACCATAATATCATTGTGCACGGACACACAGAATTTCACTATCAGACGTTCCGTATACAAAACCAATGGCTTGATACCATATAACTGGGGGAAGGGAGTGTTTCTAATCATAAAGCAGTATCGGTCAAAGCCGTAAATTGCCCGTAATCATTTCAAGTTTAGTTAGGTTTGAGAATGTTGATAACAAAATAAACAAAATGAAATTTTTGTGTTGTTGGCTTGATGTTACCTGTATTATTGGCAGCCTGCGGTTCGCATCCTGACATTTTTGCTGATCCTGCTTCCCAATGTGATCCTGATTGTATTCCAGGTGTGCCAACAACGGTCCAAATTTGGAAAGATGCGCCGCTTACAGAAAGTTAACAGGGCAGCATCCGGGACCACTTCGGACAACAAATCGCAGCACGCAGTCAACATCATCCTGCTGAGCAGTGCCCTATTGTATCTTATCACGCACACCTCTGCGACGAGTTTTAACAGCGCGAATTATTATTATTATTCTCGTCACTGCATCGCTAGCATGCTATGCGTTCGATGTCGTAGAGCCCTACGGCATGTCCACGTACATGGACCATAGTGATGGTATGCCATTGTTCAAACCTCCAGAATGGTTTATACCATGGAGCAATGTGCACAAACAGACAATAGTAAGTATGTGGTTGAGAAAAACAGAGAGCAACGTCTAGAGCAGAGAGCCTAGAGTCACTTTTGCTGCACGACCCGGTACATGGTGGCATCATGATACGGAATATGTGTAACTGTACCTGCACGGATACTTTCCCTTCGAGTGCTCCCTAGCTCCTTATGACGCTTCAGCGTTTTGCGTTACTGGTGACAGTCTTTTACCAAAAGAGCTGCATTTTAAATTCGTTGCAAAATTTGAAAGAAACTGTGCAAATCAGGTTGGGGTCATATCCACAGATTTTAAGAATCTCTACAGTTACGAGTCTTACGACTGCTTACTAGCAAAACTGCATGAAGAACATCGGCCTTCAGATAATTTTTATAACGAGATTTTGGTGCACATGTTTGTGTTTAAACAATTTATCAGCGGTAACTGTTATCAACATGATGTTACACTAGTGCGATTTATTACGCACCAGTCGACGTAAGGTCATTAAAAACGTGCGTACTCAAGTCAGTTGTTGTACAAAAAACGCACACAGTTAAGAAGCCCACATACAGATACGTATGCTCGTGCATCGGCTGGGACCTCGTGCTACATGTGATACACGAATCGTGATGCATCAACGAATCCAGTTTTAAACGTTTTTGCAAATTTTGGTTTTTGTTATAGGTCAACCGAATTACAGATGTCCGTTGACGGCGGATTAATCGCTGATCTGCTTGGGTTAGTCTTAGTAATAATCGCTGATTTCCACAAAGAAGCGGTGTGGTTCCCTGAGGTAAGTGAAAAAAAGTGCAACTGGCGGCAGCGGTTATCTGTGTTTCGGGCGCGATTCCGCATCAAGAAAACATTGAGGAAGTGTTTTAATTGTAATTTAGTGTTTTTACCGCTAGTTTGAGTGAACTTACTTACCATTAGTTTCACCTCACCACCACATGACGTACCGAAACGGTTTTTTTTGAAGTACGTAAGAACGTACTTTCTTCGGTTGCCTGCACTATAAACAGACGGCGCTGTACGCGTGACCATTGTTTAATGGCCCGCTGTAATATACTAGTAGTAGTTGATTGGTGAGATTGCCCAGAAAGGAAGTAAATCTTACCGGAGAACTGGGGATTCTTCGCTTGAACACTCAGACTGGTACACACATACAGAGGGTAACTGTTAGCTTAATGATAATACTCGTATAATATTACACGCGCGTATTGCTTTCTCAACAACGGCGGCTGTATAGAATTGAGTGTGCTACCGTCACACCGTGCATGCAGCATGGTGTAAGAATTAAAGATTGGCAAACTATACCAAAACCATTACATGTAATTTCAAATACTTTAATCTGCTAAACTACATGGTACTAAAGGCCACTAAAGATTTTACTTATTAAAGGTTTTCCCAGAAAAACTTTAAAATTAAGACGGTACTCATTGCTTTCCCCTTACGTTCTAATCGATGCAAAATAAGGTCATAAAAATTTAAAAATCTTTCGAAAATTCAGCAACTGGTTTGGAAAACGACGTTCCGGGTGGTTCTGCATTCGTGAAAACGATTGCCGCTCTGACCGCTTGGATTCTGCTGGCTGGCATTATTGGGCTAGCCGCGGCTATGCCGCAGCATGGAAAGGGGGGGCGACACAAGATACCTTGTTCACCAAACAATCACAACACTGGAGGGGTTATTTCCACCGCTACATTGTCGTGCTCGCCATTGCCATGATCGCCGGCGTAGGGAATATCTGTACGTTCAACGGAGGCATCGCCTACGAAAACACCGTCAGCCTACAAAGATATCCATACGACTCACTGGCCGCTGTAATCGCAATCGGATGCGGGATTGTATTCATCTTTATAGAGGGTGGCATAGTTGTTTTACATATCCGTGTGATCACAAAAATGCCACGACGGCCTACGGATCCTGTGTTGTGGCGTCAAGTGGTCAACCACAGCGCGTGTTGGTGGACATGAAATTGCCACTTCCATACCGGCTAAAAGGGTGATAAGGATTTCCCGTCCCCACCGCATTATCCATAAGCAACAGGGCCGTCCCGTTTTTCGACTTGTGAGCAACGGAATGTGCTAGCAACTGTGGCGGAAAAAGAGAGCACGATTTACCAGCGTTTTATGCGGATATATATTCGCCCTAGTAGAAGATATTTGTAACAGCCGAAAAGTTCACCTCTCAATCTTTGATCTCTTACAGACATATTGGTGGTTGTTTGTTTGTAAAGAAGGTTAGACAACCCTCTATTCCAAAATCAATTTAGTTTCGGGTAAATTTACAACGTTAACCGGCTCTGCCAGATATGTACTCGTACAAGTACAACCTGACTCATAACTATTACCTTGGAGTCTAGGAGTGATCCTGTTTTGCATGCCATGTCTTTTAAAGCTGTACATCTTGTAATAACTGTGTAAAAAAGCATGTATTTATAGACAGCTTCTTTGCACCTTTAAGTACTCGCACAATCTTGTGCATCAGACCAAAGATATTTCCTTGACAAATTATGCGCAAATAAATCTAGATATTCAATGCTGAGGTGAGTTAAAACATTTTAATGGTCCCTAGAACACGGATGGACACAGATGCCTGAAAAACACACTTTTCTTGAAACAGTTGCGTCCCGTGACTCCTGTCCCAATGACACTCTAATAATTTTGGCAGTTAATTTCCGTTACGCCACCTGCGCACTTGAGATTTGGCAGGTGGCGGCAGAATACACACAACCGGTCCACGATTTCAATCTTTACTGTATTCTTAATCATTCCGCGTCTGTAATAAAATCGAACAACAATGACTGCCAGCAGCCGTACGAAACATTATGTTTTTATTGCATATTACATTAAAGAGCAACTAATTATATATAATGTGTATAAAACTGATTAGTCGGTCGCTTACTGATTACTCACTCGCTTGCTAGCGCATTTGTAGAAGGTATGTACTGTACTGACCATGAGCAAGCATAAATAAAATCAATGATCAGCTTATCGCGATAAGCTACGTATTTTAACAGCGCCGTGAGTTGATGTATACTGCGTCAATACAATTGCACGGTAACACTATCAAATCTTGAATATGTACTCGTATGTCACTACAAACTTGACTTCTCAAGTCAGTGCGCTAAGAGCAAACACCAAACCGTAGTGTCTGGACTCTGGAGTCTAGGCTCTTTACCTGTGACTTAAAAAATCTGTAAATACCGTGCTCCCTACAGAAAATGTGGATGGATTGTAGCTGTACCTTTTACTTTTAACACCTTCAATTTACATAATATAAGCAAGCAATATTTTTCTGTATACAGCAGCACAGTAGCAAAACACAAATCCTTACGTTGTGCGATATCCGTGCTTGTACGAGTAAGTATAGCCCTCTGTCCAGTTACTGCACGGCATGGCCAGTGGATGCGTTTGGTTCCCGGTTACGAACGAGCCAACGTACAACCGGCGATTAGCTGGATTTATTGCCCTGTCACAATTAACTCTGGGACTCGCCATTCTTGTTGTTATGGTTGCTACAGCAGGTAGCTACCACATTTTTAAGTGGTCATTTTTAAAGTGGAGATATTTGAATATTGCAGTCGCAGTAACCATAAGACTTGATTGCGATTGTCGTGTTTGTAGCGTAACAGTTTCCTGGTCAACTACAAATTAGAGGCTAGTTTTGAAAAATAATTTAAATCGTTGTCGTTTTTTAAATTTAAGACAGCGAACAAAGAATTGAGTCAAGAAATTCAAAATGGTAAAATTGTGATATTAATATTGCCTTTTCAACGCTGCAGGAATTAACGAAGATTATGGAACTCCGGAAGGAGGTGAGATTGTTGATGCGTTTGCCGTGCTGACCGTGTGGACGTTGTTGATGGGAATTGTCGGAATCGTTGGCTATGGCAAATCGTGCTATGTACAGATGGCGCATAGCCGTTTAGACGCAGGCCAGTCAGAGCGCTGGAAGAAGTACTTTCGCGGCTGGACCTGGCTGCTGATCATCACATTGTTTATCAGCATAGGCAGTGTCATTCATAGCGGCATGGCCACGGAAGGCAGCGCACCTGGATACGGTCCACTCGCTGGTCCAGCGGGCATGGGCTGCGGATTGCTGGTGGCGATTACGGAAGTCGTCGTACTGATTACAGAACTCGTTGTGGCTGGGGACGGATCTGCGGCGTTTGCCAACCAGGAGCACGAGGCGCCAGTTCAACCCGGCGTAACACCGGATGGTTATAGAGTACCCGCGGCTGCCCCGGAACACGGGACGACCGCTTTCACGCCGATCAATCGCTTGCCGCAGTTGACTTATCCTCCCGCTACTTTGCCGTATCCACGAGAAGCCGCTTCGTTCACAGCCTGCATGGTTTATGAACCGAGAAATATGCTAACCACTGTGACTGAAAAAAACAATTCAGATTTACCGCCAACTTACGAGGAAGTCATTAAAAAATAATAATTACTGATGTTTTTATGTGTAAGGCTGGATCTCTTTGTCGAAGTGTGATTTTTTCCTTTGAAGTTACGTACACGAGATTTTGCTGGAAAGGCTTCTTTTCGCGCATGCTTTGGATAATATATTGGTAGATAACGAAACCCCAATTAAGAACGCTAAACAAAAATTATATTCTTGCTGTTTTACTCAGTTACAACTTGCACTTTTCGCCATGCTCGAATCCGTGGAATGTATTGCACGTTAGTGCACTGTACAGATATCTTCCGTCAAACAATTAAGTGGCCCGGTTTAATTAAAACATAAATGTAAAAAGTTATTGCATAATCATCGTGATTCATCACCAGTAACTGTTATCACTTATCAGCATGATACTGCACAATGCACATTGCACAATTGCGGTTAACTACCGAGTACGTACTACGTATCAGCTCTGAAGTCAGAATTTAATAACGCTGCGGATGCTCAAGGCAGCTGCTGTATAAAAGAAATCTACTTGTGCACCCAGCTGCGACCTGGTACTGAAGTACAGTACAGTACACGAATCTGTTTTTTAAGCATTGTGATTTTAGTTTTTCTAGCTCAAAAGTATTGTAGATGGACGGTAAAAAAACTGTTTGTTTCCCAGATGAAAGCGAACCAAAGTCCATCCGGCGTTTAGCTGGATTTCTGGCCTGGACGCAGTCCTTTCTCGGAATATGTTTACTTGTTATAATGTGCACAGTAATAGTAAGACCGTTGACTTGATGACAATAATATACTCGTATCCGTATGACTGTATTCACCCAACGGCCGGCTGTTCAGAAATGGGCGTACCATGTTGTTCGAGAAACAATAAGCAAAATGTACGAAAAACCGCCTCCTTTTGCTTACAACATCTTACTGAAGGAGATTACTATCTGTACACCCTAGATTTTACTTATTAACGGTCTTAAATACAAAAAAACTTAAAAATCAAAGCGGTCATACTTTTTTCCTATTACGTGCGTAACGACAAAGGTCATAAAATATTCTTTTAAAACTGCAGGAGTTGGTACGCAAAACGGCGTTCCGAGTGGCTCTGAAATCGTGGAAACTTTTGCCGCTCTGACCGCTTGGGTTCTGCTGGCTGGCATTATCGGGCTAACCGGATATGTCGCAGCACGACAAGAGGCACAAGATACCCTTTCCCCCAAACAATTACAGCGCTGGAGGGCTTTTTTCCACAGTTACATTGTCTTGCTCGTAACTGCCGTTGTCGCCAGCGCAGGGAGTACGTTCCACGGAGGCATGGGCTATGAAGGCACTGTCAGTCTGCGAGGATATCCATATGGCCCACTGGCCTCTGTTTCCGCAATCGGATGCGGAATTATACTCTTTTTTGCAGAGCTTATCTTACTTGTTGTACATATCTGTGTGATCACAAAACTGCTGCCACAATGGACTGCAGATCCTGACCTTGTGGAGCCCATAGGTGGCTCTAACAAATCGCGTGTTGGAGGATATGAAATGACACCCTCTCCAACGACTAAGGACGACAAGAATTTCCCGACACAACCGAACTATCCTGAAGCTACCGATCCGCCCAAAGTTTTGGCTTTTAAGCAACAAAGTGTGCTAGCGACTGTGATGGAAAAAAGAAAGCCCGATTCGCCGCCGTTTTATGCAGATATTTGCTAGAGAATAGATTTAACAGCGGCCGAAACGTTGACCTCAGGTTTATGATCTCTTATGGAAATATAGGTTTTTCTTTGTTTGAAAAGAATAGTAGACAACCCTCTGCTCAAAGCGGGTTTGCTTTTGCTTAAATCTTATTTGTTAAGCTGCCAATCCAGAAATGTGTAATGTGGCGCATAATTAGAAACTGGATTAAATCGCATTTCTCACGTCTTTTATAGCGGAACTACTTGAAATAAACTGTGGAAAAATATTTCGAACACATCTTTTATACCCTTAAGAACTTGAATCTTGTTCATCAGAGCAAAGATCCTTCCTTGATAAATCGTATGCGCAGTGTAAACTCAGCTGTTAATACTGAAGTGGTTAAAAGATTTTAAAATTATTGTAGAACATGGATGCAGCAGTTACCGGAAATATACACTGTTCTTGGAAACAGCCGCGTCATGCCACGATTCCCATGACGATAATGATACTGACAGTTAATTAATCTCTAATGCGCCATCAGCGAACGTCAGGTTGGACAGGTGACGGTGTAATGTGCGTCACCACGGTTTTTACATTTGATCGCATGACGGTATAATGCACGTCACCACGGTTTTACACATTTCTACATTTGCTGTTAGCCGAACGTCTGTCGAGCCGTTTTATACATCCATTTCGTGGCTCGTCCAGCGTGTGGTCCATGCTTCCTCGCAATATTTGCTAGCGAAAGCAGTGACAGCCGGTGAACCGAAGAAGTGCAATGGACAGTGATTGGACACAAGACGGGCAATGGATACCAAACGGCCCTGAATGTGCCTTTGTGCATTACCTGCAACAATTTCTGAGTTTCCTTTTTATTTAAGAACCACGCAAGGACAAATACCTTTTGGGAAAAAAGGAAGCGTTTTGTGTGTATATTAGTGTATAGTATCCAATATTTGTAATCCAGATAATATTATAACGTCCAAAGTGGTTCCTCTAGAGAACGAAATTAACGTCATTCTGTCACTGTAGGTTCCGTGATTCACATTTCCTTTATTAACTCTGAGAAAATACAAACAATCATATCACCTGAGTAAACCTAAGTTACAAATTGTACAAACATACCGCGGTTTGCTAAAACTGCACGATCATTGCAATATTAGCAAAGCACGATATTAGCAGTAAGTGTTATCAGCATGATGCTGTACTAGTGTGATTATTAAACAGCGTGTCAGACCTCAGGTCATTATAACATGCGTATTCAAGTCAGTTGCATAAAAAGCATGAACAAGAAAAGGATAATACTCGTCTACATAAGCTCCTGCACTTGGTTCGGATCTTGTACATTCTGTAGTACCGATACACGAATCCAGTTTCACGCCGGCTGATTTTGGTTTTAATTATAGATAAACTAAATTCCAGATGTCCGCTAACGGCGCATTATTCGCTGATTTGCTTGGTTTAATCCTAGTAACAATCGCTGACTGCTGCAAAAATGCGGTTTGGTTCCCGGAGGAAAGTGAACCGAAGTACAACCGTCGCTTGGCTGGATTTTTGGCCTGGACACAGTCCTGTCTGGGAATCTGTTTACTTGTTCTAATGTGCTCAATAATAGGTAAGACTGCTGCAGCACATAACTTTAACTTGACGACAATATATTGTATGCGCTGACAGCTTTCTCCCAGCGGACGGCTCTGTAGAATTACGTGTATGACGTGCATGGTGAAAGAATGCTTGGCAAACTACCCCAGAGTGCATCAAAACCATGTATAATTTCAATTATTTCTATCTATTCCATGGTACTAAAGGCTACTAAAGGTTTTACTGGTTAATTACAGGCTTTCCGTAAATTTAAGAAATTTGAAAATTGAAACGGTCGTACCAAATGCTTTCCCCTTACGTCTTGACCGAAGCAGAATAGGGTTATAAAAATTAAATAATCTTTAAATATTGCAGTAACTGGGTCGCAAAACGGCGTTCCTAGTGGCTTTGAAATCGTGGAAACCTTTGCCGCTCTGACCGCTTGGATTCTGCTGGCTGGCATTATCGGGCTAACCGGTTATGTCAAACAGCACGACAAGTGGCGGCGACACAAGATATCCTGTCCCCCAAACAATCACAGCGCTGGAGGGCTTATTTCCATAACTACACTGTCGTGCTCGTAACTGCCATTATCGCCGGCGCAGGGAGTACGTTCCACGGAGGCATGGCCGACGAAGACACCGTCAGCCTGCGAGGATTTCCATACGGCCCACTGGCCGGTGTAACCGCAATCGCATGCGGTATTGCTTTGTTCTTTATAGAGGGTTGCATACTTGTTGTACATATCAGATTCTGTGCGATCACAGCACGACGGGCTGCAGATCTTGACACTGTGGGCCCAGGTGGTTCTAACAAAGCGCGTGTTGGAGGAAATGAAAGGACCATTTCTGTAACGGCTAAGGAAGACCTGAATGTCCCGCCCCAACCGAATCGTCCACAAGCTGCAGAGCCGCCCAGGGTTTTGGCTTCTGAGCAACAAAATGCGCTATCGACTGTGACGGAAAAAAGAGAACCCGATTTGTCGTCGTTTTATGCAGATATTTGCTAGAAGGTAAAAATGTAATAGCCGTTTATGTAATAACCGTTTACCGTTTATGTAATAATGTAATAGCCGTTTACCTCTCAATCTTTGATCTCCTATGGAAATATTGGCTTTTCTTAGTTCGAAAAGAAGAGTCGATAACCTTCTTTTCGTAATTACATGGTAGTTCGCTTCTGCGTAAATTTGCAATTTAAAGTTGACCTTTCGTGATCCAGATATGTATAACGTGGTTCATAGCCAAGAAAGTATGTTTTTTACGCCAATTGAAGATGTACGACTTGTCATAGATTGCGTGCTAACTCCTTTAAACCGTTAACTGTTACAATGGACTTCAAAATTTTGTTACACTCACAAAACGCGCGCAACCAGCTATTTATCTGTACTCAATCAGCCAAGTTCCGGGCTGGCCATCGGCCTTCGGCCATCGGCCATCGGCCTGTTGAGTTCAAACACTTGCACCTCACGCATTTCCCAACGAAAACCATCCACCGATATCTCAAACGAAAGAGAAAAAAATTTTATGAATTTTGATACCGAACACGTTAGCTTTTATGGGATCTGACAGAAAATCGACGCATCTAAAGTTTCTCGTAGACAAAGCATAGCATTTGAATCCACGGTTTGGTTTCAGTTTTCACACAGAAAACGTATGCTCTGTCTACGAGAAACTTTAGATGCGTCGGTTTTCTGTCAGATCCCATAAAAACTAACTTGTTTCGTATCAAAATTCATAAAATTTTTTCTTCGTTTGAGATATCGGTGGATGGTTTTGTTGAAAATGCGCAAACAGCAAGTGTTCAAATACTGCGCGTTTCCAGTTTATTGGTCATTTGGTCTTGGCCATTTATTTCTATTGGTCATTCGGTCCCGGACCGAATGTAACAAAATTTTGAAGTCCATTGTAAGTACTTCTACAATGTTGTTCATCAGACCAAAGATCCTTC